ATATGTATTATCTTTCATAAAATATCCTTGCTAATTAAGTGTGTTGGCTAGAATTATCATTATTAGAAGGACTAGTTTGGAAAAAAATGTATAGATATGAGAGACAAAATGGATTAGGATCTTATATTTAGGATCAAAATAAAAATCAAATAAGATCTTATATTAAGGACCGGAGGTAGTAACACATTATTAACTCTTGCAAAGATGGGCATAAAGCCATCAACCATAAGTAACTTTAAGAACATAAAATGTTAATCAAAACAATCAAATAATGAAATACTCAATTTATCTTGGAAACACATGAAATGAATGGAATTTGTGCTGCCAAATTAAGTGATTTCCATGTCAATAAAGCAATTATTATTGAGAGGATTTACAGTCAGTTTTGGGTGTTAATTAAAGTTGTTCGGTATGGAAAAAAATTGGAAATACGATACCTATCAATTCACTTGATGACCATTCAATAATGTTATATGCTTTTTCTTTTTTTAAATGTTGTGAATATTTTGAGAAATTCAATTAATGTTTTTTGACGTTTAATTAAATTTAATTTGGCCGGTTAGCTCAACTTTCAAGAGTATTATGCGTGTTAATCTCTCATAGATCTGAATATGTTTGCGTGTTTACATTAATACATTTGTTTCCTTTCTTCATTCTTTTTTCATTTCCTACACACAAAAATAAGAATTAAGGCCAAGTAATCTTATATGGACATTCTTCATGTTTCACATTAATGTTGCAATTTCACTTATAATGTCGTCTGAAAACTTCCTTTTAAATCTTTTTTTTTAATTCAGAAGCTTCTTTGATCATAGAAAAAAGAAACTATTTTTATTTCTCAATTTTATTAAGTATTTTTGTAGTCATTTGATCCTTATCAGCATTAGAGTCAGAGAATTGAAATATAAGATTAAAAACCTAAAATAAAACCTTATATAATATAATGTTAAAGAATTAATAAATACACTTTTGCTTAGATAAAATCATAAAAACAGCATTAAATAAAAAGCTAATTTGATTCTCGCACGCTGAAAAAAATAATTTTTTTTTACTGCGTTACAAATTCTATTGGCCAGAAAAAGAAAAAGAAAAAGAATTAGAGAGTTAAGTGTGAACAGATACTTTGCCCTATCTATAAAAAGAGTGATAGTCAAATTCAGAGAAAAATTCTATAAAGCTAGTCAATGAACACAAAATAAATTTGATATGCATTCACCAACCGCACACGACTGAATTCTTAAAAAGGAGTCTATTTTGGGTTTGGGTTCAAATTAATGGACTTAGCCAACCGAAAATTTAGATATGCGAAAATCGAATTAATTTGTTGGATTTAATTATACAACATTGATGGATGTTGATTGATGAATTAATTACTAATTGTTATAACCAAAATTAGGGAAACGGTTCAAAAAATCAAATGTCACAAGTTTGAATTATCTAAAAAAAATAGAAGGTTTGTAATCTTTGACAAGGTATTGACTTTTTTATTTTTCAACCAGGTTAAGCTTTTGACAGCTTTTTCGGTCAAACTCCAATATAACTTACGATCCTAAATATAAAAGCTGGCTTTAGTTTTAAATAATAAGGGGTTCCAATAATTACAATGCGTATAATTTAAAAAAATAATGTTATAAAAAAATTTATTATTTATTTATTATAAATAAATATTTTAAATAATATTTTAAATATTCACATATTAATTATACAGTTTTTATATTGACAAGCGGGAGAGAGAATATTATAAAGAAGTGGACTGCAAAGTTTGTTGCCGTTTTATTGGGTAGGTGTCGTTTCTGTCTGGCGGTGAACGCGTCGTTTGGTAGAGAACTCTGACAGTTTGACTTTCAACCCCCCCATGGTCCATGACTCCAAGCCCTTTTCTTTCCTCTGAAGACTCATTTTGTTTTCAACACGGTTAATTAATCCTAGTACTCCCTCCATCTTTAATTATTATAAAATATACTCTTCTAGTCTTATTTATAAAATAAAAAACAGGTATTTTTTAGTTTTATTTATAGGATACTGAGATATTTTTTATATAGATGTACGCTTTTACCCTTTATTTATTATTGTGTTGACTTTGTTTACATGAAGTATAATACATATTAAATAGGGATAAAATTAAAAATTTATTGGATTTTAAATGAGAATTAATGAAGTTTAAAGTTTTTCTTCATTTATGTGAAATATGTTGGAAGTAATTTATAAATATGATCATAGGAGTAATTTCTTAATTCCTAGTATATACTAAGAAACTAGTTTTTGTCTAAAAATTTATTCTTTATTTTCAATTGTGACCCAAAATTGATAATTGTCATCTTTTTTCTATTATTGCCCAAGGCATATTAAATTAAAAGACATATTTTAACTATTTATAGAACTTTGCGAAGTATGTTATATAAAAGGAAACCAAATCCTTCTGATTATTCAGAGGTATGCTGTTCATTATTGCAACTTGTAAGAGGAAAATCGTGATTTGGAATCTTGAGGTGAAGGTATTTGTTTTGTTTGATGGAAAATCTTAACTATGAGATTTTTTTTTTAAAAAAATCTCGATATATTTATTTTTTATTTTAGCTTTTTAAATAGTGGGATTTACTTAAATCAATAGTTAATTCATAGTAAAACAAATGATTAATTCATTTAAAATTTCCAATCATCGAGGTTAATTAAGTTTTAGCATAATTAAATTATCTAATTCTTTGAAGTAGAGTTTTGTTTATATGTTGTGGTGGGAATAGGATCCGTGAATTGAAAGTTGGAAGTCGAAAGTATTCACCTAACGAGGCTTATTATTCAACTCTGCGAGTGTGGACAAGCTGTATTATTAATTATTTCGCAATTCCCTTTCCCGAAAGGCTTCTCTTCCTCGCCTTTTTGTGGCTGTTAATGTTTGAAATACAGATCAGCCAATAAGTTTCGGTCATATTAAAGGCAACATTAGTCTCATTAATTAGTACTCCTGCAGTTAAATATAAGAGCCTTATACATACTAATATAAGGGTCTTATATTTAGAACCGGAGGAGTATTACATTATTCTGCGGTGAAAATTCAGTTCTGTGTGGGAAGAAAAAAACTATTGGTCTTTAATATAATAGCTAGTTAATTAATATGAGTAGATTAAGAAAACTAGTTAAATTAGTTATTGTAATAAATAGGTGTTTTCTTTTCTAAAATATCCTTACTAATCAAGTGTATTGGCTAAAACTATTATTATTACAATGACTATCTTGAGAAAAAATGAACAAATATGAGAGACAAAATGAATTGGGGTCTTATATTTAGAATCAAACTAAAAGTCAAAGAACTCTTATATTAAAACTAGAAGTAGTATTAATTAAATAAAATAAAAATACTCGTCTAATTTTAATTGCAAGTCAGAAAGAAAAGGTTCTTTTGACCTATTTATAAGCCATATCACTAAATTTTTAACACAAATATATTGTTTATATTTTATTTATTATAATGTAGATTGTTATTTTCTTAAAAAATATATATTAAATAGAGCTAAAGTCAACAAATAAAGTTAAGATTTAATTTTTTTTATACTGATAAAATATGTTAGAAATAATTTATAAATAAACTTAGATGGCTAGATCACAATTCATGATAGGGAAAAAAGTAAGAAAAAAATTTGAAGAATTTATCATAATTATTAGAGAAAATAATCCTAACTACCTAATGTGAATAAAATAACTTATACACTATTAAAAAATTTTTGCCAACAAATTAAATTAATATATATATATAATTAATTATTTGATACTATCCAAATTAAATATGTGTGTCACTCTATGTGTGTTTTATCTAAATAATTGATTGATAGGAAATAATTCCAATTATATTGATCTTCTGATAATTAAACCATAGACTTGGACATATATATTATAAAATTTTCAAAAAATAACTTCAAAAGTAAAATATATAAACACAACAAAATAAACATCATGGTTGTTTCTTGCCTAGTTGACAAAAATGTAACAACAACAATAACAACAAGCCTTATCTCACTAGGTGGGGTCGGCTACATGAATCACACGACGCCATCGTGCTCTGTCAACAACCCAATCCTTAGATATGTTGTTGACTAGGAGGTCTCGTTCTTGTTATTGTTGTGAGTCTCAAAAGCATATACAAAATCAACTTGATCACTTCAAGGTACTCATATCTACGATCTTAATATTCCTTCATCATGTGTTCAGAATTTTGGTCTTGTGTGGTCCTTTAAAATCAATTATATTTCAACGGGATTAATTTTCAAATACAAATAAACATTCATATATTCAAAATAATAAAATAGAGGAGATCTAATGAATACATAACTTCATTTTAAAAAAGAAAATTCTATTTATTTAGAATTGACTAAAACCAAAACTTTATGAAAGATATAATATAAATAAGAATCAAAATGGAATAAGAGAAAAGATAACACCAAAACTTCATTTTTCTAGTAGTCTTATAACCTAGTCATATGAAAGCTCTTATGTAAACGGGAGACCGCAAGTTCGATCCTACCCATAGCTCCAAATTATTAGTACCTGCCTCTACTTACAAAAAAAAAGACTTAATTTGTTGGAGATCATATTAATAGAAAGAAAAGCACATGCAAAATTTCTTATTTGCCTTATAAGTAAGACTAGAATGTTATCATGATCTAGGACATTCCCCCCATCATATTGTGATCACATCCCACAAATTTTTCCCATTTGTATTCATTTGGATTAGTTTAATTTAAGTGATTTTGGACTAAATATATGACAGGGTTTTACCTCATAGAATATAATTATTTTTGGAATTCAAAAAATTTAAAATTAAAATCTTTATTAAATTAACCTAATTATCTGAACGCGCACAGAAATTAACCTAATGAGGAAGATGACGGCCCCGCATCAGAGGCCACTTATTTCACAAATAGTCTTCACCTACAACCTCCTCGTTTTGAGTCAGCAGCCCCTTAAATTTGATTTTTCAAGTGTCCATGGAAAAATCCAGAACGACAATTCAACTTATAAAACCGATTGATTCATTCACAAAATCCAACCCAACCTTCTCAAAAAGAAAAGAAGAACAAGTGAATGCGTTTTGTTTCATTGTCCCACCTTTTTTAAATCTTACTATCACAGATCCCTCCTTCTCATTCATTTCTGATCTTTTTCTGAAGAGTTAGCAAATCGAGAACACAGAAGCAAACCCAAATGGCCCTTGCCGGAGAAATCATGGGCTCTCCATTGATGGAGAGATCCTCTTTTGTTTCTTCCTCACAAATGCTTCTGAATCATAGTTTTCCACAGATTGCCTTGAAGAATACGAGGTTCCTGAGGTTGAAGAAGACTCTCAATGTTCCTGTGGCGGCTGTTAGCGAGGATTTGATGAGAGGCCCTTCTGTGTCGGCAGAAGAAAAGGCTGTGAAATTCCAAGTGAGAGCGGTCGTCACAGTGAGGAACAAGATCAAAGAGGATTTCAAAGACACCATTATGAAACATTTTGATGCTCTCACTGATAAAATAGGAATGAACATTGTTCTTCAGCTTATCAGCACAGAGATAGACCCGAGTAAGAATTTCACCCTCTTTTCCACTTTCTGGGTATGTCAAAAAAGTGAACTTTTTTGGTTCGATAATCCATTTGGTTTCATTCTTCAGGAACAAAGGGTCCAAGGAAGAGCAAAGAAGCAGTTCTGAAGGACTGGTCTGAGAAATCAAATGTTCGAGCAGAGAAAGTGAATTACTCAGCAGAATTCATGGTGGATTCAGATTTCATGGAGGCCGGAGCTATTACTGTGACCAACAAACATCAGAAAGAGTTCTTTTTGGAAACTATAACAATCGAAGGCTTTCCCAGTGGTAAACTTCATTTCCCCTGCAATTCCTGGGTTCAGCCCAGAAAACACGATGCTCATCCCAGAGTTTTCTTCTCTAACAACTTTTCAATTTCACGTTAATTCAGACTTTTTATCCTCACAAACTAATCATATAGCTATGAAAAATTTTTTTTTTTTTTTTTTAATGTCCTGCTTCAAGCTCAGGGCATTTAAAATGAACAGGGTCTTGAAACAGAGCGTGGCCAATCTTGTTGGTTGTTCTGACTCATTCATTATTTTGCATGGAAAGGTCAACGCTGTTTTCTTTATTTTTTTTCTTCTTGTGTTTCCTTTTGAAAGCTTTGGAAAGGACAAGCAAGTTGCATATTTTAATATTCAGATTGTTTTCTTGGCTAGTGATTTCTTATTGATTTATTTGTATATCTTAATCCTTGCAAGTCTTCATCAATGAAGAAAAACTCCAAGTTGTGATTCAACTTCATGAAGTAACAGCCATTAATGACAATATGAAAATCCCTGCCACTTTTGAAATTCCTTATTGACCTATTCTTGGTCTTCAGATATTTATTATAAAAATTTTCTCTCTAGTTTACTCCTTTGATCCAAAATATAAATTAAATTCTATTTTCTAAGCTTTTTTCTGCCCAAACTATCAGTCTTCTTTGATAGTAATATCTAGGGCAGTAATTAGTGTTTTTTTTTTCTTGCGTTACTTACCCTTATGTGCAATTAAATATTATGAGTAGTTACCTTTGAATTTAATTTCGAATAATTTTGTAAAATGAATTAACTTTTTGAAAAATAAAATCAATTAATTTTCTTTTAACTCCATTCGTTGGTCTCCATACACTCAGATAAATTAGACTTGTATATTTTGTACTAGAGGGCGCATTTCATAATCATGAAAAAATTAATTTTTCTTAATATTATAAGAAAATAATTTCAATTCTTAAAATACAATGTACGAAAATTTCTTTTCCTAGCCCTATATACAACAAAGGCTAAAGTATACATTTAATCTTTTAATTTTGTACAAGGTTTTAATTTGATCCCTTAACTTTAAAAAGTATACTTTTAATCCTTTAACTCTAAAATTTAAAAAAAAAATGATTACATTAAAATCTTAAATGTTGATAAAGTATTATCAAATGCTAATATATTAAGTTTAATTTTCAAAATATTTATGATTGTTATAGAAAATCATCATTAAAGCCTAATGATTTTAGAATTAAAGGACTAAATTTATGTTTTTTAAAGTTAAGGGACCAAATTGAAACATTATACAAAGTTAAAAAACCAAATGTATATTTTAGCCTACAACAAATTTGTTGGTGCTGATTTTTAGCTTTGTTGTGTAATTTGTTTGAAGTTGGTGAAAAAAAAAAAAAATTATTTGAGCTGCATAGACCTGTCCAAAACTAACACGATTACTTACTATCTTGAGCTGGGCATAAATTGAGTATATGTCTGATTATTTATTTTCTTAGCAAATAAAACAAGCACAAAGGTTATCTTCTTAACCATGTCTATAATTGATGAATTGATTATGATCAGCCATATCTACCGAACGATACGCCAAGTGGGGTTAGACCACTGAGAGAGAAGGAACTGAAAAATCTGAGAGGAGACAGAAAAGGAGAACGAAAGCTAAGCGATAGGATTTATGATTTTGATGTGTACAATGATCTGGGCCTTCCAGAGTCTGGTCTTGACCTTACCAGACCAACACTTGGAGGATCCCAAGACTATCCGTACCCAAGACGGTGTCGTACCGGTCGTCCCCCAACTGATACAGACATGAATGCTGAGTCTCGTGTGGAGAAGCCATTGCCAATGTACGTTCCCAGAGATGAACAGTTTGAAGAGTCTAAGAAACAAGCTTTCTCTCACATGAGGCTCAAAGCTCTGTTTCATAGCTTAATCCCTGGTCTAAAGGCTAAACTTTCTGATGATAATCATGACTTCAATGACTTCTCTGATGTGGATGCCCTTTATGTTACTGAAGGGTTTCTCCTCAGATCTTTAAAAGATGCAGACTTTGTCAGAAAAATACCAGAATGTAGCCTCAAACTTCTTAAGTTTGACACTCCCAAGATCATTTCCAGTGAGTTCTTATGTACTTGCCATAAATCACTTTGAAAGCACTGTAAAGAAGTCACTAAACAATGATCTAATATAATGGTTGTATTTTACAATTTTGCAGAGGACAAATTCGCTTGGATGAGAGATGATGAGTTTGCTCGCGAAGCAATAGCAGGAGTTAATCCTGTTAACATTGAGAGGCTTCAGGTTTTCCCACCAGTAAGCAAGCTTGATCCTCAGGTGTACGGAAACCTAGAGTCTGCCATTAAAGAAGAGCACATTTTAGGTCAAATTAATGGCATGACAGTACAGAAGGTACCTGCTGCAAAAAGCCTTAATTAACAACTAGTCTTTTTTCTTCATGAACAAGTAGTTAATAGTAGTGCTGATGACCTTGTGTCTTGGAATTTTGCAGGCAATAGAGGAGAATAAGCTGTTTATCTTGGATTACCATGATATATACCTCCCATTTATTGATAAAATCAATGCCCTTGATGATAGAAAATGCTATGCCACACGCACCATTTTCTTCTTGACTCCCCTAGGAACACTCAAGCCTATTGCTATAGAACTTAGCCTTCCTTCCGGGACACCGACTTCGCGATCAAAACGTGTCGTTACACCCCCGGCTGATGCTACCACCAGTTGGATATGGCAGCTGGCCAAGGCTCATGTCTGTAACAATGATGCTGGTGTGCACCAACTTGTTAACCATTGGTAAGCAAAAAGTTGATGTTTCTTTCACTAATCAATTGATACCCTTTTTTGAGTATATCCTAACTCTTTTGTGTATATAATTATGTAAAGGCTGCGCACACATGCTTGTTTGGAGCCCTTTATATTGGCTACTCATAGACAATTAAGTGCAATGCATCCTATCTTCAAGCTGTTAGATCCCCACATGAGGTACACATTGGAGATGAATGCGCAGGCTCGTCAAAGACTAATCAATGGAGGGGGAATCATTGAGGCTTCCTTCACTCCTGGTCCATACTGCATGGAGCTCAGTTCTTCTGCTTACAAAAACTTCTGGCGCTTCGACATGGAGGCCCTACCCGCCGATCTCATTCGCAGGTATTGCATATCCGTCATGAGTCTCACATTAGGAGGGTTACCTTAAAAGAGGAATCTTTCAAGGCTCAGGGCCTTCAACTTCAATAGCTGGCTTTTAGAGGGTGGCTGTTCCAAATACTGCTCGTTACAATGTCCTTAAGCCTCGTTAAGTCTTCCAAAATGTATACAATTGCAGAATTTATCTGACAAGTATTCTGATAATATTGCAGAGGAATGGCAAAACCTGACCCAACACAACCACATGGTCTAAAGCTCCTCATAGAAGACTACCCTTATGCTTCTGATGGCCTAATGATCTGGTCTGCGATTGAGAGTTGGGTGCGAACCTATGTGAACCGTTACTACCCAAGTTCAAGCCTAATTTGCAGCGACAAGGAGCTCCAGTCATGGTACAATGAAGCAATTAACGTAGGACATGCTGATCTTAGCAACAAAACCTGGTGGCCTACACTGAACAAAACAGATGATCTTGTCTCCATTCTCAGTACCTTGATTTGGATCGCGTCTGCCCAACATGCTGCTCTTAATTTTGGACAGTACCCTTATGGAGGGTACGTCCCAAATCGCCCGCCTTTAATGAGAAGATTGATCCCAGAAAAAGGTGATCCAGAGTACGCAAATTTTGTAGCAGACCCACAAAAGTATTTCTTGAGATCATTACCTAGTTTGTTGCAAGCTACGAGGTATATGGCTGTTGTGGACATCTTGTCTCTTCACTCGCCTGATGAAGAATACTTGGGAGAGAGGCGACCGGAATCATGTTGGACGGGTGATTCCGAGATGATCAGAGCCTTCCATGGATTCTCAGAGAAGATAAGAGAGATAGAGAAGGAGATTGAGAGAAGAAACTCTGATTCTAACTTGAAAAACCGGTGTGGGGCTGGAGTGTTACCTTATGAATTGCTAGCTCCTAGCTCTGATTCTGGTATTACATGTAGAGGCATTCCCAATAGTGTATCAATATAATTAGAGGCATATAATACAAATTAGCATATATTTTATTTTGAGGGATGAAAATGTATAATCCCTAAATAATGTTGAGGAAAAAAAAATTAAAAACTCGAGGGCATGTTCTTGCCAGTCCTCTTTTCCTAGTGCATACAAGTAGATAATACTTAGATTAGTGCATGGTGATTGGATATATAGGTTGTATATGAAATAGAGCTTAATTGAGGATGAGGATGTTTTTGTATTTCATAGAAAAGATTATCAATTTCATTTATGCTTTGTTTTGTATCTTTAAAGCATCATGAAATGGGGCCTACTTTTATTTCTTTGCTTCTTTTTTTTTGCCATCTGCTTTTATTTCTTTTAGTGGTTGGTTTTTCAGACTTAAATTTTCACCAGGGATTGTTATACTTATACCAATGCTGTATTTAATATGACCGAGAAGAGGAATAAAATCTTGTTTTATTGAGAATCTTTTGATTGGAATGAAGAAGCCTTAAAACATATTGATTCTGTCTAAAAATTTAATAAGTTTTCGCCTTTACCCTTATTAAATATACATAATTAAACAAAATTAAATAATAGACTCTATAGTTAAATTAATAACAAGTCTTATAATCAGAACCAAGTAATTTCTTTACTATCTATCTTAATATTGGTCAGTCAAGTTATAAAATATTAGTCTGTTCCATTAAAGTCAATCCTATTGACATGTATTTCCTCCAGTCCTATTTATAAGCTTCAAATCTAAGAAAGGATATGGCTCTTTTTTTTTTTTTTTTACAAAATTTTATAACATCACTTCTTCAATTTTTTAAAGTGAGCTCATTAAAATTTTTCCTCTCATTCCTTTTCCTCTATTTCTCTCATACCAAATAGACCCCTTAATGAGGCCTTGCTTCAATAATTAAATAGCTCAAGTCCTCATTTAAAATAATAAACATAAATAAATAAATAAAAATCATTTCAAGTTAGGTAGCCCTTTTCATGGGATGTTTGGATTAGCTTTTCAAGTGATTTTAAGCAAGTATGTGAAATAAATTTTATCTCAATTTGTGTTAAAAAAACTTTTTTTTTTTTTAACTGATTGTGCCAAATACCCGGACAAGAGTAGCAAGCTTTTATTTTGACGGAGAGAGGACGCATGTGGCTTGGAGGCTTCATTTAGGTTGGGTCAGAAAGAGGCTTAATTCATGGGGAAAATATATTTGATGTGTCAGCTTTAGAATTTAAATACGATTTATTAAAAATATTAAATAACTTGTTGGTCTCACCTTTTTTTTGAAAAAAAAAAAAATGTATCACTATTTTTTTTTGGTTGCCCATCCAGTTCACCGGAGCTTTGCTCCGATTACATCTGAATCCGACCCCGTCGCACACCTGGCTGTGGTGGGTGAGTCTCCCAACGGGGATTTCTGCATATGCTGAGGCTCGAACTCAAGACCTCGCTTAAGCGGTACCAAGCTGCTTACCACTTGGACCAACCCCGTTGGTAAATGTATCACTATTAGAAAACACGCTGAAATCCTGGGGATCGATGACGATCTTGGCCCGTGACCCATGTCCACTGTCCACTATTCCTCATCGTTTTGCCCTACTTATTAAACCACAAATTAGGAAGGATTTCAATTAACCCTAATGAACAAATTTAATTTCCAATAGCCTCCCCAACAAATTTGGTGATTTACATTATTTATATTTGTTATAAATCATTGAATTTAAATTATAAAACGCTAGGAGGTATTGAAAATAAAATTTATTTATTATTATATAAATTGTTATTTTCTTTGAAATTATATATATTAAACAAGGATAAATTTAAAAAATTATTAAATTTTAAGGTAGATTTAATAAAATTTAAGATTTTTATTGATTCTAATAAGATAGGCTTAAAATTACTTATAAATAGAATTAGATAAGTATAATTTAAATGGATCCGTGGGTAGACAAAATTTATCTAATCAAAATACTCCAATGATAATTTATTCTCATGGTCTTGAAGTGCCTACGATTCTCTCTCCCTTTTTTTCCCCCAGTGACCGCTTAAATGCAAAATGCTACATCCAACTCTTAATATAAAGATTAGTTGATTAATTTAAATAGATTAATTTTTTAATGAATAAATATTATCTTTTTTAAAATATTTTTACTAATTAAATGTATTAGCTATGATTATCATTACTATGAAGATTATCTTAAAAAAACAAATAAATATAAAAAATAAATAAATTACAATTTTATATTTAAAATAAAAATAAAAATAAAATTAATTACCCAGGTGTAACGGGACCGAATGCGATATTAGGGAAAATTACACTCAGGTCCCATAGAGCACAATTAATATCAAAAAGGTCCCATGAAATCGCGAAATGATTCTGAAGTCCCCAGGGACCTGTGTGTAATTAATTCTAATTGTGAAATTACCTATTTACCCCTGTTAATTTTATTGCAACAATTCGTTTACAATCTCAACAGTGGCTGTTAACAACCCGAGAAGACGTGATTGACAACCTCGGCAGTGCTCATGACAACTCACTCTGTGGAATGCCAGGGGCGTTGTTGAGGTTGTTAACCACCTCTTCTCGGGTTGTTAACAGCCACTGTTGATGTTGTAAATAGGTTCTAATTTTATTGCAGCAATTCGTTTACAATCTCAACAGTGGCTGTTAACAACCCGAGAAGACGTGATTGACAACCTCGACAGTGCTCATGACAACTCACTCTGTGGAATACCAGGGGTGTTGTTGAGGTTGTTAACCATCTCTTCTCGAGTTGTTAACAACCACTGTTGAGGTTATAAATAGGTTCAAATTAACAGGGGTAACTACGTAATTTCACAATTAGAATTAATTACACACAGGTCCCTGGGGACTTCAGAATCATTTCGCGATTTTAAGAGACCTTTTTTATATTAATTGTGTTCTGTGGGATCTGAGTGTAATTTTCCCGCGATATTATCACATGCGTTCCTACAGAAGCCCAAACAAGGACATCTACGGACTCAAAACGCACGAGACAGCAATGAGCCGATGACTAATTTTGCACATCTTTCCAGAGAATTCAATCAAAATGCTAAATAGTACTCTTCGATTCCTTAATATAAAACTCATTTAACTAATTTAATTAGATTAAAAAAGTTAGGTAAGTTAGTTAATTATAAGAAAAATGACACATTTTTCCTAAAACACCATAATCATCTTTCTTAATATTCCCTCTCACTCTTCTACTTGATTATAGTTAAGGGAGTATCTATAGGGGTAATTTAGAGAAAATTGATAAATATGATAAATGAGTATTATATTTAGGACCAAAACTAACTAAAGAATTAGGTCCTATATTAAGGACCGGAAGAGTATTAAATAAGAGTTGGATGTTATATAATTCTGGAACAATATATTTTTTTTATAAGAATTACTCTTTTAATTTTTAATATAAGACTTAAATAATTAATTTAAGTAGATTAAGAATATTATTTAAATTAATTAATATGATATATTTTTTCTAAAATATTTATTTTTTTAATTTCTTCCCTAACGTATTTGGTTATTATTTAGAGAATATCAATAGAGTTAATTTAAAAAAAATTAATAAATATGTGAAATAAGTCTTAAATAAAGAACCAACATCAACTACTAGATGTGAGAATCAAGGCTAGCCTGGCCCTCCAAGGTCAATCCTTCAGAGTTGACGGGTTTAAAAGAGCTGTCTCTTCAGGACTCAAATTTCAAAAATATCTCAATTTATTAGGTCTAGCCCTTAAGCCACAAGGCTCAGGGCCAGCTCGCGGGCTTTCAGCCCGTTTAAAAAAATATATTATTTTTTATATTTCTCATATTTTTATAAAAAAATAAAAATAAACCAATAAAATTGTTAATAAAATACATAAATATAAATAAAATTAAGTTGCAAATATAAAATATCATCATATATAAATATCCATCAATATCCAAGAACATCTAAAATATTTATTAATAAGATAACAATATCCAAAAGTTTTATCTATAGCACAATTGTGCAATAAATAAATACTATCATTGATCTTTTGAAACTTCATCATCATTATAATCAGTTATTCTTCTTCATAAGCATGTTTTTCTTTCGCAACAAAAATATTAAAATTTTCTTCTTTATAGGAATTTTACTTTTAAATTTTACAATTTAGCTATTATTTTACTTTAATGTGAGAAAGATTGTTATTGAAACTTATGAATTTCTAATTCAAATTATAGAATAACAAATTATATAAGTATAAAAATACTCTATTATCACATATATATATAGTTTAAAAATATCAACGCATATAATATAAATCAAATTATTATTAAAGGCCAAATTAACCCACTTTTTAAAAATTTAATTGGATAAATTATTGTCTTAAACTAAATAAATCAAATCATTCTATAAAATTTAATTTTAAAATGATAATAATAACTAAATATTTGAAATATTATTAACAATATAAAAAATTAATAATATTATAATTATATAAAAAAATTTAAAAAAATAAAAAAAATTATAAATGGGCCTAAATGGGCTGGTCCTTTTAAGCCCTGGCCCTCCAAGGCTTATTTTTTATTTAAGAGAAAAAATTTTAAGCCCGGTCCTCATAATTTCAAGGCTTAAAAGGGTCAGCTCGAAAGACTCGGCCTGTTTTCTCGACTCTATCAACTACCTCTTAAATATAGAGCCAACATCAACTGTCTTAAGAATGGAGGGAGTATTTATTTAGGATTTAATAATTTCAAGTTTTTTCTTTTTTGGATTCTCTCTATAAATTATTCTTTTTTTATTAAAATTTTATGCATGATTCATTATTGATGATCATGGACTTCCATATTCTTGTAAAAACTCACATCATTTATATATTAAATTGAGAGGATTACAATAAGATCTTAAAAAAATAATTACAAAATAAATCTCAGAAATCGTTGTTTTCTATATCAAAACTTATCCTTTTTTATTAAGATTTTTTTAGTAATTTTTTTGTGATTTTATTGTAATTCTCCCTGTTAAATTCTGTATCTAATTTCGTATAATGTAATAATAAAAGTCTGATGACGAATGCGACATAAGTTTTAATATACTCATAGAATGTATAAATACTCCTTCACGCGAAGGATTCCCCGGGGGGGGGGGATCATTGCTCTACGTATTGGGTTATGCGCGTTTACTCTTAGATAGGGTCTTTATTTTTTATTTTTAAATCAAATTAATTAATTAAATCCCACATCAAGTGCAGGTGTCAGTCCATGTGTGGCTCGGAGGTGTGCGCGCAAAAGAAGGCCCGTTGCGTTACTGTTAAGATAGATACTGTCCATATGAGACGGGAACAGGTTAGGTGGCAACCATTTTATATGCATGCACATTTCAAATTATCAAGTTATAGGCGCTAAATAATACTATTTTCAGTTTTAATTATAAAACTCTTTTAATCCTTTATATAGGATTTAATTATTAAATTAACTTTGATCTTAAATATAAGATCTATTTCGTATTTATCAATTTTTTCTAAATTATCCCTATGAATACTCTTTCAACCATAATCAAGTAGATGAAGGAGAGAGGATATTAAAAAAGATGATTATAGTTTTTAGAAAAATACTCTTCCGATCTTTAATGTAAGACCGATTATTGAGTTGGTTTTGGTCTTAAATATAAGACTAATTTATCATATTTATCAATTTTTTCTAAATTACCCCTATGGATACTCCATCAACCATAATCAAGTAGAAGAGGGAGAGGGTGTATTATGAAAGATGATTATGGTGTTTTAGGAAAAACATGTCACATTTTTTTATAATTAACTAACTTACTTAACTTCCTTAATCTAATCCAATTAGTTAAATAAATATTATATTGAGAATCGGAGGAGTATTTTATTTGTAATTTAGAAATGATGTCTTATAATTAAGATGTGAGGTAATATTCTATAATTGTTTCAGTAATTGTTTCTTTATTTATTTTTGTTAGAATTTTACAAAAAGGGGCTACAAATGTTTTTAATCAGTAAATGATAAACATGGAGTGCTAAGTTTATTGAAGGCTTGTTAAAATTAATGTCCCTTAAATTGACTTTTATTCCGCCGAAGTTTTATAATCTAGAATTGACCGTTAGTATAGTTTGATTTATATCTAAATAAGGTTTTACGGAAAAAAAAAATCAGTTTAACGAACTAAAATTTATTTGAAAAGCATATTTGACTGGAAAAGGATATTTTTAGATATGAAATGACTAAAAATCACATGAGTTTTGTTAAATACACGTAGTATATTATAGGTATATGATGTAATAATTTTTTAGAGAAATATAAAATTATAAAAAGAGCTAATATGTTATTGAAAAAATTTAAAAATACCATGATATTATAAAATTAAACTTATAAAAGAGCTAATATGTTATCGAAAAAAATTGAGAATACCATAATATTAAATTAGATACATTTAATAGGTAAAAATATATTTAAAAGACAAATTATACGACAAAAATAATATTATATAACTAGTTAGATTAGCGGTTCCAGACAATTGGTCTCTAAAGATTACCGGTTCTATACAATTGGTCTCTAATTTTTATAGATGCATTCAGAATCAAAGTTTCATTATGAAAATAACGAAAATTATATAAAATGAAAAAATTGTTGAGTACTATGATTACTTCTTCTTTTTTGGCGCCAACAGCTGAGTACTATGATTCCTTTTTTTTGTTTGACCTGCTGAGTACTATGATTACTAGAAGAAGAAAAACTGAATAATGACATGTTACGGCTTAAGTTTGCATTATGACATGTTAGCCCTTAAGCATGGTTGTTGAGAGCGAGAAGGTGCTTGCTTCGCTTAAAAAATATTATTTCTCCTGTCCTTAAAATAATATTTATTTAACTGACCTGATTAAATTAAAAAAATTAAGTAGATTAGTTAATTATAAAAAATATGACATACTTTTTTTTCAAAATATCATAACTAACTTTCTTATTATCCCCTATCTTATTTGATTATAGTTAATGGTATTAACAACAATAATTTGAGAAAAACTCATAATTATAAAAAATAAGTCTTATATTTAACATCAAGATCAACTCATCAATTATGTCTTTGATTAGGGAAGGGAGGAATAAGACTTAATTAACTAATTTGAATAGATTAGTGATGTTAATTAAATTAGCTAATATGATATATATTTTTATAAAATACCTGAAATATCTTTTTTGATTCTCTCTCTCTCCCTCTCCTATTTGATTAATGTTAATGAAACATCAGTATAATTAAGTTGGCAGAAAATTGATAAATGTGTAAAATAAATCTTACATATAGGATCAATATCAATTTCTCAATTAGGTCCTTATTAAGAACCAGAAAAGTAACACCAAAGTGATTTTATGCATATGCTTATTTTAAATGTTTATAAATATTTTTTTATATAAACTGAGACAAAAATTCTTGCACGCTTATCTTATATTCTGTAAATAATAATTAAAAACTCGCTTATATACTATTTCAAACAAATTCCAGACAACTTAGAGAGTGCGATTTTTAAAATAACCATTTTATTTTATTTTAAAAAAAAGGCATACTAGTTGCATTTTGTGGGTCAGGCGTCCATCGCAAATTGAAGAAAAGGTGCATGTGGAAAATCATTAGTTTTGTAATGGAGCAAGAAAATGGTTGTTGTAGACTAATCAACGATCATGGCCATAAAGCAAGACAGTACTCGTGACGCACACTTCGGAAAAAACACAAAATAAAAAACAATTAAGTATACACTGATACTATAAATTAACATGAAGTTGAATTAAATCCTTTAAATAAGCAGACTCATCCCTGTAAGAAAAGAAGCACAAGTGCGAATCCTGAGAAACGTATTTGTCAGAAGATCATATGTGAAACTTTTTGTGTTTTAAGCCTCAAAAGAAAAAAAAAAAAATCCTTGATCAAATAAGAAATCCTTGATTAAATAAGACTGATTTGTAAACATAGAGAGAAAAATTTTAACAAAATGGCTTATATTAAGGGCTGGAATGATATATTTTTAGTTTTGTTAATTATATTACCATTAATCTTATTTAACAACAAAATTTTAAACTAAATACTCCCTCCGGTCCTAAATATAAGAAATTACACTACAAAATAAGTCTTATATTTAGGATCAGAGGAGTAGATTTTAACGGTATCTCTCTAATTAAATGTGAGCAAAACGTGCTTTAAATTTTATAATAAAAAAATGCTTTAAATTGAATGATCAAGGACGCAAAGCGTAGTATGATCAAAGAAAAGAGGAGGAAAGAAAGCAAGTTGCGTGGCTGTGTGGTGCTGATTAGAATGCCAAATAATCAATGCCAGCCAAAGTTAATTCTGTATCAATTTATAAGAAAAATAAATTAGTTGAAAAAATTAATAAATATAAATAATCTAATAATTTTTAATATTTCGAAATCAATTAATAAAGTCTCATATTAAAAACCGAACATAATACAAACTAGTTATGAGAACCTTGTTTAAGAGATGAACACATGAAATAAAATAAATTTAAAAAATTGAGTTGGACCAAGTCATATTATTAGAATCAAGTTATAACCGAATTAAAATTTTAAAGAGTAAATAATTAATTTTTTTTTCCTAAATAAAACGGGAGGTTCGAGGCAAGGAGGAAGGCAGAGAATTGCGAAGAAGCAGGTGAGAAAGATGAAGGGTTACTAAAATAAAGTAAGTAAAGGACAGTGACGGTCTTCGGAGTCAACAAGTCTTCTCCTTAAGAGGGAGCATAACATGCGCCTACCAACCTCAATGCCATATACCCTATCTTTTTCTTTTTTTCCTCCGACATTTAATGGCCTCTTCATTCTTGCTATATATTCAACCATATTAATTTCAACTTCCATATGTGTGTGTCTCTGTGTGTATGCTGTGGAAATTTCAGTAAGTAAAATTAATATCCCCTTTTCTTTTCTGTGCTTTCTTTGACGATTTTCCAAGTCAGCCCTTTTTTTCCGCCCTCCATAATTTCGATATTTTTCTTCCCATGACGCGCTTGATAATTTGTAAAAGGGGAATTAATTATAGTGGTAGGTTATTTGAAAAACTTGTGTAGAAACGAGTAATAAAATTTGTAAAATTTTTAATTTAAATAATAAAATATCATATGAAGATTTGTGAAGATTCCTCACTTAAAAAATCCTGAGCTATAGAGTGAGGAAAATTTTTACAATTTTTTGTATACAATAGAATTCGTCTTCCGGGATCGGGCCCACAGGACAAAAGAACAGAGGCAATACTGGAAGTAAGTTGCCTCGTCGCTTCTTATTCTTTTTTTATTTTTTTTGGTCGAGTGACCTGGCGGCCGGTCACTTCTTTCTTCCCCATTTATTTTTGTTTGACCTGGTTCTTGCCCATTATCTCACTCTCCAATTCTATGCTGCTTCCCAGAAATTCATCAGAGTTTAAATTTTAGTACATGATAGTAATAATAATAACTAAAAAGAGCACGTGTCTCAGCCTCTTTTGAAATTTATTGCCCTTTTATTTTAAATTATTTTTATTGAAGTTTGATTAGCTTATTTTTTATTTATTTATTTTTATTAATTTCAATATTTTCATAATTTTTTTGGGGGTTCGCTGGCTCACCAAAACTAGAATATATCTGCAAGTTTCAAAAATGTTTATAAAAATACTTATAAATCGTTATCAATAAAATCTTCACATCGTTAATAAGTTAGTTATAATTTCGCAATATTAAATAAATATAGAACATTGTGTCTTGGGAGAAAAAAATGCTTTTGAAATGAGTTTCAGGATCATAAAAATAAACACAATGCATCGCAGAATTAAAAAAAAGACGCTCCGCTTATCATTACATTTTTTTGTTATGTTTTCTTGTTATCTTTAATATAAAATTTAATTGATTAATTTAAGACAATTAATAAAAATAAAAAAATTACTTAATTATAATATATATTACATAATTTTTTTAAGATACTTACATGTATCATTAAACTGGCAAAGTGGATCTAAATTAAATTTTTCACGAACTTTTGACCCAAAAATAATTAAACTTCCGCGAACAAACCTGATGACTAAAACCTGTAAGAAACAGAAAACGACAAATTTTTTTTTAGTTGTTTGTTGCCACCAATAAACTTTCATGCTCTATAAATACCTGCGATTGCCCAACACGGAGTTACGACACAGCACAAAATCACACACAGCATTTCTTATTTCAAGCTTTAGCTTGCCGTTCTGTAACCCCAAAAAAAAAAAAAAAACAGAAAGAAAAATCATACCCAGCATCACCCAATAACTATGGCAACGGAATTGGTGGCAGGCCTTCCAAGCGCAGCCGTATGGCTCGCGACCACCGCCGTCCTCCTCCTCTTCGGCCGCTACCTCCGCCGCCGGCAATACAAGCTGCCCCCAGGCCCACGGCCCTGGCCCATCATCGGTAACCTCAACCTCATCGGCCCCCTCCCCCACCAATCCATCCACGCCCTATCACAAAAATACGGCCCCATCATGCATGTCTGGTTCGGAACCAAACCGGTCGTCGTCGGCTCCTCCGTCGAACTGGCTAGAGACTTCCTCAAAACCCACGACGCCGCCTTGGCCGGCCGCCCCAAGTTCTCCGCCGGCAAGTACACCACCTACAACTACTCCGACATCACGTGGTCTCAGTACGGCCCATACTGGCGACAAGCTCGCAAAATGTGCCTCACCGAACTGTTCAGCGCTAAACGGCTCGAATCCTACGAGTACATCAGAAGAGAAGAACTTAGAGCCGTTCTGAAAGAACTCTACTATTCAGCGAACAAAACCATAGTACTGAAAGATCATCTCTCTACTCTGAGCCTGAACGTGATCAGTAGGATGGTGCTGGGGAAGAGGTACCTGGAGAAGAGCCAAAACGCGATCGTTTCGCCGGAGGAGTTCAAGAAGATGCTGGACGAGCTGTTCTTGTTAAACGGAGTTCTGAACATCGGAGACTTCATTCCATGGATTCATTTTCTGGACTTGCAGGGCTATGTAAGGAGGATGAAGGCGTTGAGCAAGAAGTTCAACAGATTCATGGAACATGTTCTGGATGAACACAACGAAAGAAGAAGAGGGAATCCAGATTATGTAGCTAAAGACATGGTGGATGTTCTTCTTCAGCTTGCAGACGATCCTACCCTCGAAGTCAAGCTTGAGAGGCATGGAATCAAAGCCTTTACTCAGGTAATTAATTTCTTTATTTGTTTATTCTTCTTAGTTAAATTAGGAAAGGGTATATATGTCATTTGATATCGTTTGTGAAGAAAACAATGAGCCGCCTTAGGTAATTCGTTGATTGGGAAGTTTAGTTTTTGTTTCCTAGTCCTTGTCCATCGATCCCGGTGAGATTCACAGGTTAAACGAAATATATTATTCATAACAACACTTTTAATTAAATAGTATTAAATTTTTATTATAGTTAAAAATATTGATAATATATTTTTTCAAAAAAAAATTAAACGCATAACTTTAAAGGATGGGATATAAGGGTAGCAACACGTTGGTGACATTTTTTCTTTTATCATTAACGGAAGCATTCATACTATTTTTTATTGAGAGTTTTACGAGTTTGAATTTATAACATCAACTCTAAAAGCCGGTCAAAAAAAAAACTCTAAAAAATTATAAAAGAGATGTTTAAATGTCTATTATTAAAGATTTAAATACCAACGAGTGATGCTGGTAAAAAAAAAAAACAATGAGTGATGTGATGGCTCGCATATTTAAATTGGATGATTGTTCGCTATCTTATGGTCATCGTTGGGAAGAAAAGTCCAAATCGGCACATTATTTGAGGGAAAAAGATCAAATTTGCAGAAGATAAAATAAAGTGGTTGAATCATGGAAGAACGAGTTACATAGTGCGTAGTATTATTAAAAAAAATCTAGTCCTCATTCGGTCCTCTTCCCTAGCGATTAAACAGAGTCACGTACAGAACTGCGGGTTGAGCGACCGAAATGATTGAACCTAAAAAACGGAATTAGGAAATGACCTAAACTTTTGTTTTTATTTTTTGGCCTTGAAACTTTTATTTTGATGACACGTACGAAATGTGAAGAATCATAATTATATTAATTAAATAATCTTGAAGTGAAATATGGTTTAACATTTGAGATATTATGTTGGTCTGTTTTTATTTGATTTTATATCCTACTCATCCGTCAAGTGGGCCTTACCTTCATTATTTATTTGACTGTATAATTATCTGTGACGGAGGAAGTATCCACGTGGAAGGAGGGCTCGTTAGAATAATCTCTCATCACTCTTAACTGAACATTTCTCGGCCGTGTGCGACTTTCTTCACCATGTTGTGTGCGTGTGTAATTGTTTTGCTTTATCTTTGTTGTTAATTAATGCCTGTTTATATTGGGGACCGAGTGACTAAAAAAAACCTTATATATATGTTTTGTGAGTTAAAAATACACTTAAATAAAACGATGAAATAGCATTTCTTAATAATATTATTTCTGATCTTTAATATAAGAGTTTGTTTGATTTTTATTTTATACTTAAATATAAGACTCTAATCCACTTTGTCTTTCATATTTATTAATTTTTTTGTAAGATAGTTTTTCTAATAATAATAATTCTAGCCAATACATTTTATTAATAAGAATATTTTAGAAAATACAACACCTATTTATAACAAATAACTAATTTAATTTATTTTTTTAATTTATTTAAATCAATTAATTAATTTTTATATTTAGGATTGGAATTAGTACTGAACAACTTAACCTTATTTATAATACCTTTAGCGCCCCTTGTACTATTTTTTCATCCTAAATGATAAACTTTTTGTTCACAGTAATTGAAAAAGTGTTCCAAAGTCATTGAAGTGATAAAGAAATGCTCCTGCTCCTGGCTTCTCTGTCATCATGATTTCACATCAATCATATATATTCTGTTATTTTGATTTCTTTTAAATGAAATCTATCACGTGGGATGGCAGGACTTAATAGCTGGAGGCACAGAGAGCTCAGCAGTAACGGTGGAATGGGCAATCTCGGAGCTTCTGAGGAAGCCGGAGATATTCAAGAAGGCGACGGAAGAGCTGGACAGAGTGATCGGAAGAGAGCGGTGGGTGGAAGAGAAAGACGTCCCCAACCTACCATACATCAACGCGATCGCCAAAGAAACCATGAGGCTCCACCCGGTGGCTCCGATGCTGGTTCCCAGAATGGCCAGAGAAGACGTGAAGGTCGCCGGCTACGACATCCCCAAAGGAACACAGATCCTGGTCAACACCTGGACCATCGGAAGAGACCCTGCAGTATGGGAAAACCCTAACGACTTCGAACCAGAGAGATTCTTGACAAAAAACATCGACGTGAAGGGACATGACTTCGAGCTGTTACCGTTCGGAGCAGGAAGAAGAATGTGCCCAGGTTATCCTTTGGGGATAAAGGTGATTCAGGCGAGCTTGGCGAATATGTTGCATGGGTTTCATTGGAGACTGAAGGATGGCATGAAGAAGGAGGATTTGAGTATGGAGGAGATTTTTGGACTCTCAACCCCAAAGAAATTTCCCCTTGAAACTGTGGTTCAGCCCAGACTTGCTCCTCATCTTTACTAATATATATATATATATATATATATATATATATGCGCGCGCTATTAGCTACCTATAATATAAGTTTCATCTCCAATAAGGGTAGTGAGCGTTTGAGAGATGGAGTATTATTGTAACTCAATCAATATGATGATTATGGGCAATACTATATTTCTGGGTTTCCTTACATTTCCTATCTTATTCTCTTGAATTTTTTAGATAATTAATGTCCCGGGAAAAGTTAGCATTTCATGAAAAAAAAAAGTTGGAAAAATTACCCTCAAACACCTATTCAGAGAATTAAGTTTCTGAAATTCGTAAAAAGTGTGTGTGTGAGGTTAGTTATATATATATATATATATATATATATATATTATGAGGTTTTTGAGAGCAGGGCATGAAGACATATGTTGAAGTTAAGTAGGAGATATTGAGCTATTAATTAATTCTTCAACCAAATATTTATAAGCTATCTTCCCAAAAACAATTAATCTAAAATAGTTTTTGGTAAAAGAGTTGTTCATTCTTTTAAGGGTTAACGTTCAGGGTGTTAAAAAACCTCTAAAGCTGAAAAGAAATATTTTAATAATAAATTACAAAATATTTGAGAATATTAGGCATGCTTGCAAAAATATTTGAAAATGTTGACTGAATCACTAGATATTTTAGACTATCGAGTGCACTTGAAAAGATACCTTGAATTATTGGATAACATTTAACCTTTTGTAATTGAAAAAGCAAACGTCTCACCTACGACGGAGCATCACACTATTAAACTTCAAAAGCCTATGGACTTAAAAAAGATCGACAAATTAATCGAAAGCTGGTCAAGTAAAAAAAATCACGAAAAAAAGTCAACGAGGGCGCAGGGAAAATGGTTTGAGATGGACGGTTGCGATTTAAGGAGAAGCGACGGCCCAAATACGATCACCGACGAGCCTACCCGTCCCACGTCACGGTCCCGTCAGGTGGGAGTGGGACCAAAGACGAAATTATCACATGCTTTCCTCCCCAAGTTCAAATAAGGACACATACGGACTCAAAACGCCAAGGGCCAGCTATGAGGCTATGATTAATTTTGTACATCTTTGTATATATGCGAATTATTAAAATTTTATATATGATTCATTACTGATGATCATGGACTTCCATATTCACTTGAAAACTCACGTTATTTATTATTAAATTCTGTGCGATCCATATCTAATTTCGTATAATATAATAATAAGAGTCTGATGATGAACATAACATAAATTTTAATATTACTGATAAAACGTATAAATAATCCTTCACGTGAAGGGTCCGTTTTAAGAAATAAATAAATAAATAATTGCTCTATAGATTAGTTTATGGGCGTTTACTCTTAGGTCGATCGTGTCTTTATTTTTTATTTTTAAATTTGTTATACATTGGAGAGGCAGCTGGAAGATCGTTTTTTTTCCAATGTAACCCAAGTTTACAACTTAAATGAATTTTTCATGTCGATGATAGTGATTTCGTTAATACTTTATGAGAGATTTAAGTAATGAAGTTTGAAATTTGATTTATGGATGAGGATGTGAAAGTCAAATACAAATTCATGCAATTTTATTTTAATAAAGACCAATATTTATAAATAATAGCAAAAGCATTAAGTAAAAGATGAATAGTCAATAACAATACCACCCACTATACGCTTAGATGATGTAACAATAGCGAAAGATGAACATCATCTTTTGTTTCTTTCTTTCTTTAATATCATGCAATGCAAATATATATTAGGCAACTATTCTAGATGAGAAACTTGTGTTGGAGACTCAAGAATGAGGGCCATTTCAAAACTATACGTTTTCAATATTTAATTTCATTTGAATCATTATTACACGTGCATACTAAAAAAAGTTATTATTGTTAAACAATTATTGGTTCAAAATATAAGAATAAGATTTTTAAAGGGGCTTGTCTTTTACAAGCATCAATTTGGTTTTCCTAATCATTTAATGCTTTTTTCATTTTTATTCCTAATTAATAATTATGTTTTTGTCATTTTTTCTCTCACTCATTTTGTCTCGTATCTTTTTTCTCATCCTCTCTTCCATTTACTCTCTTCATAAATAAAGGTATCTTAGAAAAATAAATTATACTTTTTTTTTGTATATTTATTGTCTTTGACTAATTTTAACAATTTTTTTGAGTTGCATAATTTAATTGTTTGATGTTTATATTTTGAACAAGAGGAGTATATATGATATGGTTAAAATTTGCTCATAAGCATGTTAAATAAATAACGGACAAAATAATATCAATATTATAATAACTAGGAAAAATTAACTTAGAAGTCCTTATAAATTTAGTCAATTTTGAACCAAGTCCCTGGGTTTTTTTTTTTTGGGTTTTTTATTGGCTCCTTTAACTTTTTATCCTTAAATTCGTAAGTCCTTCTGTTAAATAAGGAGAAACTCCGTTAGATGTCTCTACCTGATACATCACTGCTCTTTCTTCCGCCATAGCTTGTTTAATATGACCACTGATACGATATGTAATTATTCATTTTCATTCTATGCTTTGATATAATTAATCTATTGATGAAATTTTGTTTGTTCATCCCATAGGCGCTGGAATCCGCGACAACGATGGAAGAAGGGATATGTCCAAATATGCTGATACGATGGCTTTGGTGGTTCTGTTTTCCGATGATGGTGTCGCCGCCGATGACACCAATGGGAAGGAACGGTGAGGTAGGGAGGATGGGAAGGAAGCAGAAGATGATAAGGAATGAGGGAAGTAGTGTGAGACTGAGAGCTTGCTTTGTGGCGGAGGAGAGAGGAGGAGAAGATGTATCAGATGGAGACGTTTGGTCTTGGTTTTTAACGAAATATTTAACAGGGTTTGTCTTTATCTATCAGAAGGACTCATAGATTTAAGTGGGGAAAAAAAAGGGCTCAATAAAAAAAAACTTAAAGACTTGATTTAAAATTGAGTAAAATTCTAGATTAATTTTCCCTAACTACTATTACCATTTTGTGGAAAAAGAACATTAAAACACCAACCATACAAAAATAATATTCCCTCTGATTTTAAATATAAAACTTATTTTATAATATAATTTATACTATAAAATTGATTTTATATTTAGAATCAGAGGAGTAATTATAAATAAGAAGCATTTATGTCATTATGAGATGTAAACCCTCTGGTCAAATGAGACAGCATAACGCAAAACGGTATGTATGGGACGAGATGAGACCAGAGCAGGCCGGTTTTTGTTGGAATCAATTTCGATACTCATACCTTTGATAAGCATCATAACTTCATTAGACCTGGACCGTTCATATTTTATTTGGATGGTTTAAATTTGATTTTTTATTTTTATTTATTCAAAATAATTATTTTAATACGTATAAAATCTAAAATAGTGATGATCTTTTAACTATCATTTTTTTAAAAAAATAGTTTTTTCTATTTAAAAATAAATAACTAAAGATTTTAAATAAACGGTTCAGATCTGATAAGTTTAAAATACTCATTAAAATGATAAGTACTGAAAGTCCTGAATTGATGAATAGAGATGGAAAGACTTTTTTCTTTTGTGTCCCGATTCCTAATGAGAAGAGACCTCTTGCCTATTTTGGGCCAATTGAGTATGGATGAATGTTTTTTTAATATCGTAATGTTTCTTTTTCAATCTGGGCTTCTTCTTTCTTTTGGTATTTTTCCTTCCCATATATATAAACATTGTTAGGATGCATTTGTAAAACTTTCCTCAACTAATTATGCAATTTTTATATTTTACTAACAAGTTCGCTAATTAAAGATAATGTTTTCAGACCTTTTCTTTAACAATCTATCTAAATATTTAATATTTAGTTGTTAATAGAGAGCACAGTAGAATAATGCGATTCTTTTAACTAACCGTATAGGACTTGTTATTGTTGTTCGCAGGCCAACACTTCGTCCTTTCAAAACAGAGGCTAATTCGTTTATGTTGACAAGGTTTAATTTTGTTCATAACTTGGGTCCTTTCTCATGCTATATACTGAGACTTCACTTATCCTCCCAAGTAGAGATAGGAATTTTAGAACACTAACATATGGAAGTGACAGAAAACTGACTGCAAATGGATTCAGGGAGGGTTAAGCATTTAAAGAAAAATAATATAAAAAAATTTGAAGGAAAAAAAAAAAAAATCCTGAACGAGACACCCTCGTCCCGTTTTCCGTTCTAAGACATTTGTGTGGTTCCAATACGACCCGGACGGGGGACCGGGCAAATTAAGCACTCCTCTACCATTAAAGGTATCAGGATATAAATGGTTTGGTGATCGACAAGGCAAACCACATGCCTTGACTTTTCAGTTTGGTAACAAATAATTGGAGAGCAAAAGCAAAAGGCCTAATATATGGCTAGAAATTAAGAAGGACATCAGGTTGGACCCATACAAAAAGTTGTTGTTTAAATAAAAGAGAATTATAAAAAAGTCTCACTTAAGAGAATTAAACATAAAAAAATTTCTTAAAATCAGTAAACTATTATGAAGTCCAAAAAAACCTTATTTGAAGAGATTCTATTTGTTTAATTATCAAATTATTCTTATCATTTTTTTAATATATGTATTGATAATTGAAAGTGTAGTTGTTAACAATTTAAGATGTCATGATTAACAACTATCACGGCAGATATTGACAACTCATGCATCAAATTTTTGTGATACGCTGAAAAAATGTGTTGTTAATATGCATGCCGTGATAGTTGTTAATTGTTATGCCTTAAGTTGTTAACGACTACTTTTTTAGTTGTTAATACATACTTATCAAAACATAAGGGAAATTTGGTAATTAAATAAAGAAAATCCCTTGCAATGAGATTCCTTGAAACTTCAAAATAATTTGATGATTTCAAGATATTTTTTTAGTATTTAATTCGTTTGAGTGGGATCTTATTACAATTTTCCCTTAAATGAATAGTGGTTCCATTGTATATATACTACCTCTGGTTCTAATTATAAAAGCTAGTTGACTAATTTGAGGAGATTAAGGAAAATAAGTTAAGTTAATTATTCGTAATAAATAAGTTTTGTCTTTTCTAAAACATCATTACTAATCAAGTTTATTGGCTAGAACTATCATTATTAGAGGAACTATCTTGGGAAAAAAAACACAAATATGAGAGACAAAATGGATTGAGATCTTATAATTATAACCAAAATAAAAATTAA